AAAAAAAAAAAAAAAAGAAGGAAACAGAGGCAAACTGTAGCTCAGTGCATGCCAGGATGTAGTGCGACAGAGAATATGCATAGTGGAAATAAAATACAAACCAGTCTTGCCTCAGGAGCTGAGGTGAACAAGAATCACTAATCCAGAGCAGAATGTGTGAGGAATCATCCTGCAGATGCACATACCCACATTCCAATCTAACTGTGCTGCCTGCCGTCTCTCCAACATGGGACATGCTTTCTGGGTCTCACTTATCTCTTCCCCTCTGCATAAGATGCCATTGTCAGCACTTCTGGCCATCTTTCTTATATGGCATCTTCTCCTTTCCCGGTCCCATCAATTAGATGAGTTATCACCCTCTAGTGAGTCTCTTTGACCTTGGACTTCTGAAGTAGCACTCTCTGTTCCTTCTGGCATGCCCTTCGCCTTGGCAAACTACTGCTTTTTGTTTTATATATGTATGTGTTTGTTTATTTTTTGAGTCAGGGTTGCACTTTGTTGCCCAAGTTGGAATACAGTGGCGTAATCATGGCTCACCGTAGCCTCAACCTCTTGGGCCCAGATGATCCTTCCGCCTCAGCTTTCCGAGTAGCTGAGGCTACAGGTGTATTCCATCATGCCTGGCTATTTTTTTCTTTTTTTTTTTTTTGGTAGAGATAAAGTCTTACTATGTTGCCCAGGCTGGTCTCAAACTTGTGGGCTCAAGTGATCCTCTCGCCTTGGCCTCCCAAAGTGCTAGGTTTACAGGCGTGAGCCACTGTGCCCAGTGATTATTGCTTTTTAAATTTATGTGACTTAAGTATATCTTTCTTGGTCTAATTCCCTCCCACAAAGTTGTGACCATCTTTTTAAATGTCAGTGCCCTGTCTGGTCAATAAATGGTAACTATAACAATATTTATTATCTCCTGTCATCCTTAAAATCTCTCTGTGAGGCAGCTATTATCTACATTTTCTGGTTGAAGAAACAGAGACTCAGATATGGAGTAATTTGCCCAAGGTCATGGAACTACTGTGTTAGAGCCTTACCTTGAACAAAGGGCCATGTCCCTCCAGAGCTTCATGGTGTTTAACAACCCAAACACTGGTGACTGAGGCTTCAGTAATTGTTACACATTAGTCACCTGATTAATTTCAGTCACTTTGGTTTTCTCCAAATAACTATTCACGTAGCTGAGAGGGAATAAGAGTGAGCTCTGTTATCCAAGAGCCCCATCCTACTGCTAGGATTTGTGCCATGGTGTTTTGCAATGATTCCCTACTGGTACCCTTCCTTGGGCCTTCAAAGGTTCAGAGATGCCCTGACTTTTATTCTAGAGCAGCTAAATAAAGTGTGTTCAGATTCTCGGAGACAGAAAGTCTCCGTCACTGAATAAGTAAGGTTCCTTTGGAAAGCAGTTGAGCAGTATACTTCAGGAGCCTTGAAAATGGTTTGCAGCCATTGATCTAGTGATTGCACTGACCTGGGGTCATCCTAAAGCCTTACCCCAAAAAGCTTTCTTATTTTTACTTTTTGAGTTGGGGTCTTACTCTGTCTCCCAGGCTGAATTGTAGTGGCATGATCATGGCTTACCGCAGCCTTGACCTTCTGGGCTCACGTGATCCTTCCACCTCAGCTTCCAAGTAGCTAGAACTACAGGCATGTATCACCACGCCCAGCTAATTTGTTTGTTTGTTTGTTTTGAGTTGGAGTCTCACTCCTTTGGCCAGACTGGAGTGCAGTGGCATGCACGCTCATGGTCACCCCAGTAACGAACTTCTGGGCTCCAGTGATCCTTCTGCCTCAGCCTTCCGAGAGTAGCCAGAACTATAGACACACACTACCACACCTGGCTATTTTTTAATAGGATTCTTTTTTTTTTTTTTTTTTTGAGTTGGAGTCTCACTCTGTCGCCCAGACTGGAGTGCAGTGGCCGCTCCCGGCCACCGCAGCCTCGACCTGCTGGGCTCTGGCGATCCCTCCGCCCCCGCCTTCCAAGTAGCCGGAATTACAGGCGCGCGCTACCACGCCCGGCTGATTTTTTGATTTATTGTAGAGATGAGGTCTCGATGCCCAGG